ACAAAACCTGCGTTTCAGGAGTAAGTGCATGGGACCTATTTGTATCATGTTTTATATCTGGTTCTATTGCCAATGTTATTTCATTGATACTGCGTCTATCCAGTCTGTATCTGGATATAAGGGAGCTACCATTTGATTTTTATGGGGGGGGGGGGGGGGCTAGGATGAAATTTGAAAAAAATAGGCAGGACAGGAGTTTTGAGTTAAAAAAAAAAAAGGCAGGATGACACACTTGCAAAAAAAAAGTCAGGATGAGACACTTGCAAAAAAATAAGTCAGGATAAACTTTAAAAAAAGGCAGGACAGAGATTACAACTAAAAAAAAATGCAGGACAAAATTTTTCATCCTAGCCCCCCATAAAAATCAAATGGAAGCTCCCTAATATCCATTTCATTTTCAAAATGATCAAACGAAGAAAGTTTAGTTCATATTTGCGGAAAAACTACGATCGAGATACGACTGGGTATAGCTGTAGTAAGTTACGCCATGATTTACGTATTATTTACGCTCATCTTAACTTACGACGGCTTTGTGAAACGGCTGTTAAACCTACGATTTATTTACGATGTACGTTCGATGACACGTAGACTTACGAAGGCTTTGTGAAACGGTACCCAGATCGTCCAGAATCGGGGAACTCGATCGTGATGACCGTAGCCGATCGAGTCCCAATCGTTGACTAAATCGTAACAATCCTATCGGAACGCCTGTGATCGCATCTGAACGGACGATTAGAACGTGACAAATCCTGATACATGAAATTGACATTTCGTGAGCAGATCATATCCGAACGCAACAAATCGTATCAGAACGTATCGACTCGCATCACCTCTTATCCAAAACGGAAATCAATCCAATGATCAGCTACGATCACGGGTTACAGAATAGAGAAAAATGGAACCAACACAATAAAGAATAGAAAAAGGGGAAAAAAGGAAAACGGAAATTTATATAGACTTTCATCCTCCCATATCAGACCCTCCAAAATGGTATGGATGGTATTTAGTTGGTACGATCAAATAAGGTTTGTTCAATTAAACCAAAATTTTTCTTTTAGTAAAATGATAAAGAAAACTATTTTAATTCAATCGGAAGCCCTGAATTATTTCATTTTTGATATGAAAGTTAATTGCTGTCGATGCAAAAACTTTCAAAGCAAACCCCAACCGTTTCACGATTGAAAAATGAAAACAGTTTTGAAAATGAAAAATTAAGTCGTTTTTATTATCCTAGTCAATAGCAACCCATAAAATCTTTTAAAAAGCACGTGTCCGAGAATCCAATTTTAAATTAAAAGCTTGACGATCCATTTCAAAAATGAAATATAATTTTTAGAAATTAATAAGTCACTCAGCCAGTATCTGCATCGACTAAATCGTTTTTGTTGTTTGTATAGGTAATTATTTTAAAAGGTACATGGTTGTCATTGATTCGAAATCAATCAAACGTATGATAAAGATATACTTTTCTGATGTTTCATCGTAAATATTTATTTTATCTGTTAGTAAAATGTAAATTCGCCAACTGTGACATTATAATTGGCATTTATGTACTAACATTTAACTAAGTGACTATAGTTGAAAGGATTGCAGAAAACATAACATCCCCTGATAAATATCATAATCAGACCTTGCTGCCAGTGTAGGATTGCAGAAAACATAACGTCCCCTGACAAATATCATTATCAGACCTTGCTGCCATTGTAGGATTGCAGAAAACATAACATCCCCTGACAAATATCATTATCAGTCCTTGCTGTCAGTGTAGGATTGCAGAAAACATAACATCCCCTGACAAATATCATTATCAGTCCTTGCTGCCAGTGTAGGATTGCAGAAAACATAACATCCACTGACAAATATCATTATCAGACCTTGCTGCCAGTGTAGGTTTGCAGAAACTATAACATCCCCTGACAAATATCATTACCAGACCTTGCTGCCAGTGTAGGATTGCAGAAAACATAACATCCCCTGACAAATATCATTACCAGACCTTGCCGCCAGTGTAGGATTGCAGAAAACATAACATCCCCTGACAAATATCATTATCAGACCTTGCTGCCAGTGTAGGATTGCAGAAAACATAACATCCCCTGACAAATATCATTATCAGTCCTTGCTGCCAGTGTAGGATTGCAGAAAACATAACATCCCCTGACAAATATCATTATCAGACCTTGCTGCCAGTGTAGGATTGCAGAAAACATAACATCCCCTGACAAATATCATTATCAGACCTTGCTGCCAGTGTAGGATTGCAGAAAACATAACATCCCCTGACAAATATCATTATCAGTCCTTGTTGCCAGTGTAGGATTACCAATATCATTATTAGACCTTGCTGCTTTGTGTAGGATTGCAGAAAACATAACATCCCCTGACAAATATCATTATCAGACCTTGCTGCCAGTGTAGGATTGCAGAAACATAACATCCCCTGACAAATATCATTATCAGTCCTTGCTGCCAGTGTAGGATTGCAGAAAACATAACGTCCCCTGACAAATATCATTATCAGACCTTGCTGCCATTGTAGGATTGCAGAAAACATAACATCCCCTGACAAATATCATTGTCAGTCCTTGCTGCCAGTGTAGGATTGCAGAAAACATAACATCCCCTGACAAATATCATTATCAGACCTTGCTGCCAGTGTAGGATTGCAGAAAACATAACATCCCCTGACAAATATCATTATCAGTCCTTGCTGCCAGTATCACTATCAGACCTTGCTGCCAGTGTAGGATTGCAGAAAACATAACATCCCCTGACAAATATCATTATCAGACCTTGCTGCCAGTGTAGGATTGCAGAAAACATAACATCCCCTGATAAATATCATTATCAGTCCTTGCTGCCAGTGTAGGATTGCAGAAAACATAACATCCCCTGACAAATATCATTATCAGACCTTGCTGCCAGTGTAGGATTGCAGAAAACATAACATCCCCTGACAAATATCATTATCAGTCCTTGCTGCAAGTGTAGGATTGCAGAAAACATAACATCCCCTGACAAATATCATTATCAGACCTTGCTGCCAGTGTAGGATTGCAGAAAACATAACATCCCCTGACAAATATCATTATCAGACCTTGCTGCCAGTGTAGGATTGCAGAAAACATAACATCCCCTGACAAATATCATTATCAGACCTTGCTGCCAGTGTAGGATTGCAGAAAACATAACATCCCCTGACAAATATCATTACCAGACCTTGCTGCCAATGTAGAATTGCAGAAAACATAACATCCCCTGACAAATATCATTATCAGTCCTTGCTGCCAGTGTAGGATTGCAGAAAACATAACATCCCTTGACAAATATCATTACCAGACCTTGCTGCCAGTGTAGTAATTATATATAACAGCAAAGTTGAATTACGTAATTTCATGTAACTGTGATAAAATCGCGGGAACGTAAAACGATTGCTGGTAAGGGGACGACCATTTGATTTTTTTAGGGGAGGGGGCTGACATATTCTTTAAAATACATATTCTGGACACCATTAAGTTGGAAATAAATAACCTTGCCTTTCCACACATGAAACACATATTCATAATATTCGAAATTCTTTAGCTCGCTTCGCTCGTCAAATTTAGCAAGGGTTAGAATACTTCACTTCATTTTGTTTGCATTTTTGTTTGAAGTATGATCAAGTATGCATATCGTACCAAAAAGCTGATTTGTATCATAAAATTTAAATTACTTAAAGAGACATGTAAATAAGAAGATATGGTATGAGTGCCAATGAGACAACTCTCCATCCAAGTCACAATGTATAAAAAGTTAACAATTATAGGTCAAAGTAAGGCCTTCAACGCGGAGCCGTGGCTCACACCGAACAATTAGCTATAAAGGGCTCCAAAATGACTAGTGTAAAACAATTCAAACAGGAAAACCAACGGTCTAATCTATATAAAAAATGAGAAACGCGAAACTCCTATGAACCACACCAACCAACAAACGACAACCACTGAACAACAGGCTCCTGACTGCATTATTATTCATCTTAAACATTTTGCCATTAATGGTACACTTTAACCGTTTTTGCCATAAATATACTCTTCTGACAGAGTCAAAAGATTTTCGATAGTCAACAAATATACAATACAATTTTCTACCTCTATGTAAGAATAAATCAATCAAACATATCTAATTAAAAATATGATCTGTCGTACAATAACCTTTTCTGAACCCTGCTTGTTCTTCACACAATAAACCAGAATTTTCTAAATATGTATGAAGCCTATTATTCAAAATGCAAGTAAATAATTTACCATAACAACTTAAAAATAGTAATACCACGATGATTATCTACATTATGTGGATTACCTTTATTCTTAATATTGGACATAGCTAGAATTCGGGCAGTAGGTCACTTGCCGTTCTAGAGTTATGCCCCTTTATAACTTGGAAAATCGCAAATGTTCTCGCTTCGGCACTCTAACTTAAGTTTGTCTGATCCACATTTTATGAAACTCATACACAATGATAAGAACCACAACACGCAGACAGAGATCAAATTTGGCCAGTGAGACATTTACCGAATCATGCCATTGGGTTTTAATATGTACGATAAATACTAGCTTCGAGCGTTAACGAGCGGTTATAAATCTGCAAAAACTGCACTGTCAGTGTTTAGATTACAAAAAAAATATGGGTGAAAAATTACGCCATGAAAGGGAAGCTCTGGCAGATGTTTTGTTACTTTTTGGATGAACAGAAGATAAATCTTCTGGCACTGTCCTGTTTGAAAATAAATAATCTGGCCGCTTTCAAGTTGGAAATGAATAGTATGACCTCATTAAATCATCTCATCAGAATTAGATAGTCGTCCCCTAAGTAACATTTTCCAAGAGTACACATAAACTAAAACTGTTTTAATTTACGCGACCTACCAAGTTAAAAAAACTTGACAGCACAGCAAGAAGGATAAACAATACTGATAATGGAGGTGCACATTCTCAGAAAGGATAATAATTGACTATATGTACCTGCGAATTGTGGATCGTTTGGATTCTTTCGAAAGTTGTTCTTTTCTGAATTGCTTCCTCTGTATATCCAATATCCTATTACTAAATTATACAAATATAAAAATAAAAGCCTACAATGACTGAATAACTTAACTATTTGACCGGATTTATTTTCTAAACGTATTGATAATACAACTGTTTTAAAATAAAGCATATTTACAAGATGAAACTCACAACTAATGTGTTTATTCTATTTCTTATCATTTAATTTCGATTTATTTCTATCTTTGAAATGGATTCATTGTCCTGTTTGAAACCAACTCTGTGGAGAAAAAAGATGTGTTCCGTTTGAATAATAGATAGATTTTTATAGCTGACTATGCGGCATGGGCTTTGCTCATTGTTGAAGGCCGTACGATGACATATAGTTGTTAATTTCTGTGTCATTTGGTCTTTTGTGGAGAGTTGTCTCATTGGCAATCATATCACATCTTCTTTTTTATATCAATTAAGAAAGACAATGAATTAATTTGAATTGTATGGGATATTAATCCACTTTTGCAAGGTTATCATACTCCTACATATCTATGTAAAGGATCGAATACAGATTATCTTACAATTTAAGATCATCACGGCAAGTAGACAATACCATGGTAATGCATATTTGGTCATCATTAGGTAACGTGTTTGTACAGCAAAACAGAACGGGATCATCAAAAACTGTACTAATAAATTGTATCCAAGGTGTTCATGAACAATATCCCTAGAAACTAGGATGCCATCTTCAAACCAAAAATAATCTGTAACATATATAAGTTGAAAGCCTGCCACTATCAGTAAAGTAACGGATGGTCTATTTCCATTATCGAAGGCCTTGGCTATGTTGACAAAGTTCATTAAAATCCACCCTATAATGCCACTTCTAAAACAAACATATTTCAAATCGAACAACCCCCATCTTGGGTTTAATTCTACTCCGTTGAACCAATCGTTGAAACAGTTTCCTGGAAAAAAATAGATTATCAACATTAGCATTTGTTGGTTTCAAGGTATGATTTCTTCATTTTTTATATAAAAAAAAACTTGAGCGAGAATAAAGAATAAAAGAAAATAAAAGAAGAATGTGTCTGAGGACACGAATGCCCCCGATAAAGCTTCGCAATTTTCGAAGTTAAAAAGGGGCACAACTATAAAACGGTTTAATGTCTCACTGGCCCAATTCGATCTCTGTCTGCGTGTTGTGGTTCTTATCATTGTGTATGAGTTTCATAAAATGTGGATCAGACAAACTTAAGTTAGAGTGCCGAAACGAAAACATTTTCAATTTGCCAAGTCATTAAGAGGCATAACTCTAGAACGGTAAGTGACTCACAGCCCAAATTTGATCTCTGTCTACGAGTTTTGGTTCTTAGCATTCTTAATGAGTTTCATTAAAATTTGGATGAGGAAAACTTAAGTTAGAGTGCGGAAACTAAAATGGGACGGACGGAAGGACAGAAGGACGAAAAGACGGACGGACGGACGGACGGTCAAGGGTAACACTTAATGTCCCCATTGCCTACGACCGGGGCATAACAAGATAGTTGTCTCGTTGGCACTCATACCACATCTTCTTATATCTATGAATATCTCGGTAGCATAGAAAAATAATGTTTGATATAATGTTAACTTGCAGACCTAATGTCTGCCTTAATTTGAACTATCATACATTAAATATGAGTAAAACACATACCAGTTTTAGCAGATATGCCAGCTCTGATGTACAATAAAATGCTGAAAACAAGAATCAAAAGAACACCAGATGTGGTCATCTGTAGCAGTTTATCAGACACTGATGTCACTTGAATTCCAGACAATAAAGCTATGAAAAAGCCTATGATGTTTATTGTCAATACAAAGAATGCGTTCAGTCGATATTTGAGTCTTATTCTCGAGTCTTTAATTTGGAGTCCATCAACTAACTCGCCACCAACCGGAAGTATGTACAGTATACACTGCAGGACAAACCACACGGTGAGAATAAAAAAGGTTTTAATGTCAAAGTAACTGTTGATATCACTTGGAAATCTCGGAACTGCAAGTATGCTCCAGTTGCCCTGTTATAATAAATATGATTCATCATAAGTGTACAAAAAGGGTTCCTATATTATTTTGCGCTATTTTAATATGTTAATCTGGATACTACACGTTGTATAATAAGATAATTATTGGGGCGCAATACAATGAGTGTTTGTATTCGACTTTTCACGAAAAAGTGATTTTTTTATTTATTTATTTTGATATATTGTCTATACTAATTTGAAATTGGCATTTAAACAGTTTCAAAGAGAGAACTGCAACGTATCTGTTTAAAATCCTCGAAGCTACAGATATAAAACACGGTTACACCAATTTGAAGTAAATAGACTCCATGTGCCAGTGTAATGGAATGCTGCCATCAATGGATCACAATAATAATCGAATTGATCACTATGTTGGCATAAGGCTCAGAATCAACCTCTTATATAAAAAAAAAATAAAAGATTGCTATCTTAACTTTTTGCCTAATAGTGATAATCTGCTTTTTGTGATCCATTGATTTGTTGGTCTGTTTAAAATAAAACACATTCGGAGAGCATCATTTATTCAATATATTCAAATGCGTATATGCAGTGTATGGGAATGCAATCAATGCAAGACCAAGTCCGCTTTATTTGTGTGAATGCTGTTGCTTCGTTGAAAGACAGTCTTATTATCAATATCAATTTCTTACCCTTTCTATGTGTTTTTTACAGGTCTAGCGACAAATTTTATTACTTACTGTGATGCACTTTTCAACAATGACAAATATCCAGGCTGTAAAAAACAATGTGAAGAAAATTGCAGATTTAGAGATCGCTGTGCTTTCCTTTGTGGAAACTTGCTTTTCTTGGTCCGTGGGCTGGTAAATCATGGTTCTCTGCAAATATGCATTTAATCATAGAGAGACAATAGTAGGAATATTTTACCATTTAAGCGAACGCACATCCTATTTAATCTGTTTCCTTCCAACTGTAGAAATAATGTCATTTGAACTCCTGTGATACATCACCATAGCGTTTTGCATCTATTCAACAAGCATCATAAAGCTGGGTAACATATACAGCTTATCTGAGCACATATGCTTGTGTTAAAACAGAATGGAGTACACATATCCCAATTGATACGATATTCCAGAGCTTGCGTTTCCTTAAATGATTTCCTTGATAGAGGTTTGTTGCTTACAAGGAAGCTATTGAACCAAGGCTTCCTAGTGGTAAAATTTCGATCATCCCTCAGAAGTTTTTACTGACGTCATCAATGATTTGGTTGACAGTTGTTGAATATCTGTGTCACAGATGACCATGGATATGTTCAACTTGTTGTAGCGACAAATCTACTGTTACTTGATCGTAATATCTCCGACAAGTCTACTGTTACTTGATCGTAATATCTCCGACAAGTCTACTGTTACTTGATCGTAATATCTCCGACAAGTCTACTCTTACTTGATCGTAATATCTCCGACAAGTCTACTGTTACTTGATCGTAATATCTCCGACAAGTCTACTCTTACTTGATCGTAATATCTCCGACAAGTCTACTCTTACTTGATCGTAATATCTCCGACAAGTCTACTATTACTTGATCGTAATATCTCCGACAAGTCTACTCTTACTTGATCGTAATATCTCTGACAAGTCTACTCTTACTTGATCGTAATATCTCCGACAAGTCTACTCTTACTTGATCGTAATATCTCCGACAAGTTTTACTTGCCATTAGCAACACGACAGGTGCTTCTTGCGGAGCAGGAATTGTTTGCCCTTCTGGGCAACTTAGTTCACCATGGCTTTTTGTGTGGGATTTGTGTTGTTCAATCCTTAATTTCCTGTGTAGTGTTTTGTGGATTTTTTTTTGTCTTTTCGTCGTTTTTGGTCACTTAGATGTATGTCTTTCTTTAACTAGTGGTTTTTGATTGCCCCCTTGATATATTATGGCTCTATTAGATGTTGTTTAATCGCAACCTCGCCAAAGCAAACGGCAGCAATAATTAACATTACCAAGTAGTACTTAAATGTAGTCATCGAGTTATTTCTTTCGTGTGAAATCAGTTAGTCTCGATAAGTAGCGAAAAAAAGAAATGCGTTAGAGGGGAAACACGAAGTCGATGACACCAAATAACCTTTCTATTATTAAAACTGCAATGTTTATAACAATAACATATATTTTTTTAAACAAAACCTGTGGACAAGTTTTCGAGGAATCTCAATTTGAAAAGTTAAAAAAAGGCATATGCAAAGCGCCTTTAACGTGAATTTTATGCATCTATTGAACTGTTTCACATATTTTTAATTGATGTTATCTCTAGAATTACATATTCAATATTCAGATGCATTTCAAATACATTCATAAAATCAAACAATCGAACGTTGATCAAGGGTTTACCTTTGAAGCATTGTTATGGGACACAGTTGATGTTTTCAAATTTCTACTTCATTTTCCTCTGTCTATAAGTATACGACTGTAAACATACCAAGACATTATTTCAACAAAATTTGTTTTTCCATACAGTTATTTTAACCGTGCATTTTCTTTGCCTGAATATTACTGTTATGTTATAGATAAACGTATTTACCTTCCGTGTGGTGTCCATTTTCTTCAAACGTAGATAAGATATTTTTATTTAACAGGTCAATTTAGATATGTAAGACTACATGATTAAATCCTGCCAGGTTGAGTACATGTATAATATTCCGAAGTCAAAAGTTTTTCATAATTCTGAATTAGTACAATATGAAGGAAATAGACCGCGCCAATTTCTCCTATTTTTGTTTCACTCGAACTAAAGGGGGTCGGGGGTTTTTAACGACATTGACTACCCATGAGGGTCTCGCACGGTCGGTTATCAAAACCAAATGCAATTCCAATATGTAATTATCAACAGTTTTGCATATTTTCATAGAGTGATATTGTTTTTTTCCTACATATTGTTGGTTTAGACAAGTATATTGCAAAGTTAACAGGTTTTTTTTATAAATTTTGCATCGAAGGACATCACTCAAATTGAATTAACTTGTATCTGAAAGCCAATACATAGACATAATTCAACAAAATCTAAGTTTTTGTAAATAATGTCCTGCAGTTTTCTCTAATTTGGTCACATGTTCGGAAATAGACCAAACTGTTGTTAAACCTACATCTGTGATACTGTAAATCTTTGTAAAGATTGACGGAAGTTTTAAAAATGGTCCTTTCGTGATATTGATTAAAGGGAAATTGACCGAGCCTCTATAAATTTCCCCTTAATCTTTCACTCTGCATGTAGTTCGAGTGCATGTTATATGGTGTGGTTACTTGTCTACTGTTGAAGGCCGGTTGGAGATGTATTTTGATGCAAAGTCTCAATCAGAGAATAGTCATACAGATGAATAAGAAGATGTGGTATGAATAAATTTTCTCTATTCTTTATATTCTAGCACCCCATTATTCTCTATTCTTTATTTTTTGCCCTAATTTTCTCTATTTTATTTCTATATTAAACGGAAAACAATCAACAACAATAAAACAAATGAAAAAAAAAAGTTTAACTTAATTTTGAACAATTTGTTAATAGTCGTTTATATCAAAAATATGTATTTTGCCAGAACATTATTGTATGTGAGGATTTGAAATCAATATTTGTAGTATAATTTCATGTCAACATCTGTGTGGTATTTTGTCGTGTATTATCCCTCAGAAATAAAATATACTGATATCACTTGTTTTCTACAACATTTATATGATTTGTCAATATTTTTTCGTGAAGATATATTATATGAATACGAGTCGACCATGTTAGATCCAAGGGAATGTTTTGCGGGGTTGAAAATCGTCAAAATTAAAACTATTAATCAAGAAAGAATGAAAAATAATATTGGGATCTCTAGTATTCTTCTTTCAAATCTTGCTTCTAATTGAATAAGCGGAACTGATGTCCAAAGTGTGACACTGCTCTTCCAAACAAATTAGAATATATATAGGAATTAGGCAATTGTTAGCTTGATACAGTGTATTCAATTTCTGTATGTATGGACAATGCAATGTCGTACATATGTTCCACAATATATCTGATGTCAAATCAAATCAAAACGTTTCGAACTTTAGGTGTGTATATACAATTGTTGCACACCATAAACGTCTTCTTCAAATTTAAAAATCGTATTTGACAATTTTAGTAAGATTTTTTTAGGTTTGAAAATTGGGTTTTACATATTTTTATGTCAACGTATATCCTTTACATGTATGTTAACAGTGTCTATAGTTGAATGATCTGATACCTAACACGATTCTATGATAAGAATGGAATATAACACTTGTTCTACAGCATGTAAACAACAGATCCAGCATGAGCTGTAAAATATTCTGTCCGAGCGCCTTACCTTGGGTTTTCTTATAGGTGTTATTTTCAAGGTTGTTTTGTTTTTATGATTATTATTGATATTATAAGTATTATTTCTTCCTTTTTTTACCCAGAATTCTGTTTTTCGCTCTTTTTTCATATGTCGTTTTTTTTGTAAAAAAAAATGTGTCAAGCAAAATTACTGATAGAACTAGTCAATAAATAAAACTAAGTTAACTGAACCATATATAATTCCTCTTTATACTAGAAAAAATGGGACTGTTTCAGAACTGGAAATTAGTATAACAACTAATGTTACAGTTTGACACCATCACCAACGGTACGACGATAGTATATACTTTCTTAGGGTTAGGGTTTTTAGCGCTTGTATTGGATATACAATACAGTTTCGTGTGAAACATTCTATCAATTTATCACTCTATTGACATTGTATACTGTTACACCACCGTCCCAGGTTAGGGGAAGGGTTTGGCGCCAGTAAAAATGTTTAACCCCGCCACTTTCTATATGTGCCTGTCCCAAGTCAGGAGCCTGTAATGGAGTAGTCGTTTATTACTTTTTCTCATATGTGTTTTTCATTTATTGTTTTGTGTAGTTTGTTCTTGTGTTGTGTCGTTGCACCATTGTCCCAGGTTAGGGGTTGGTTAGGTTGGTGCCTTCGTACATGTTTAACCCCGCCATATTCTTTATGTGTCTGTCCCAAGTCAGGAACCTGTAATTCAGTGGTTGTCGTTTGCTGCTGTTTATCATATATTTTTTTCGTTTATTGTTTTGTACAGTTTGTTCTTGTGTTGTTATATTGTACCACTGTCCCAGGATTAGAGGGAGGGTTGGCTGTCCACAAACATGTTTAACTCACCACATTCTGTATGTGCCTGTCTCAAGTCATGAGCCTGTATTTTAGTGGTTGTCGTTTTTGCTGTTTATCAATTTGTTTTTCGTTTATTGTTTTGTTCGTAAATCAGGCCGTTAGTTTTCTTGTAGTGCCTTGTTTTTCCTTTCTCATTTGACGGCCTTTTATAGCTTATGATGCGGTATGGGTTTTGCTCATTGTTGAAGGCGACATATAGTTGCTAACTTCGTCATTTGGTCTCTGGTGGAGAGTTGTCTCATTGGCAATCATACCACATCTTCCTATTTTTATATAGATATAATCGTTATAGAACGTACAGAGTAGTTGTATATATTTTAGTTCCTCAATATTAAATTTACGGATAAAGTTTACTTGTTGGATAATATAATCATTTGTGAATGGAACATTTCGGATCCAGTATCAAACTGGTAACAAACCTTTCTATTATTAAAATTTTTAGATACCCTTACACAGTGTACACGTTACACTAGACTAGTATAAGAAAAGATTTAAGAGTTTTGAACATCAGTATACTAATGTTGCGACTTATTCATCATGTCTAAGGTAGGCATTGTTTTTTTCCGTTTGAATGGTTTTACACTAGTAATTTTTGGGGCCCTTTATAGCTTGTTGTTCGGTGTGAACCAAGGCTCCGTGTTGAAGACCGTACTTTGACCGACAGCGGTTTACTTTTATAAATTTTGACTTGGATGGAGAGTTGTCTCATTGGCACTCATAACACATCTTCTTATATCTATCTGAATCAAAAGCAAAAAAAACATGGCAGCATCATTACTTTCATACATTAATTCACACTACTTACATATTATATACTTCGTTTTTAATACTTATTACATGTAATTACTTATGGACTGGGAAGTCAGTGAACATGTACCATACAAAGAGAGGAAACTCTAGCACATACTTTAAATTGTTTAAAATTTCAACAACTACATTTACTTTTCTGCAAACGTTTCGTACGCTGCTCGCAAACAGATGCACGATGTATCAAATACCAACAGTGTTTCAAGTTTCGTAAAATGGGTTGTGGCGATAAAAAGATTTATGATTATGTGATTTTTTTCATATTTCAGTTGAAGCTCGTCGGATAAAGCTACATATCTCACGCCTTATAAAACTGTGTACGGTTCTTGTTCTCTTTATTATTTATAATAGAAAAAATTGAAACGTGGATGCTTTTATGATATTCAAAATATCCATAAAAATAGTACGGTGTAAATAGTTGTTTGGCATTTTTGGTGCAATTGCTTGACATAGTTTTGCTTTCCCGTTATTTTTCTAACTTTTCGAGTGAAAACCTAGTTAGAATGCCTACAATAAATAAAGCTATACATTAAGACACATATCTATATGTGCCTCTGCTGGTATAATCTTAAATAAAATTTTGAAAAATGCAGTACCAGTATAAATAAGACAACTTCATCAATTCTTTCAAAGGCCTAAAATGAAAGTTTTCTGGTTCTTCTTAAAAAAAAATTGACCTTGAAAATTATAGGGGTATATCCATCAGTTGTAACCTTGGAAACTGTTTACCAAAATTATCTATAACAAGACTAATGAAATTCATAAAAAGTAAAAACTTCAATCAGCAAATATCCGATTGGTTTCAAAGAAGATAGTAGCACTGCTATTTCAAATTACAGAAATCAGTTGACCTGAAAACCTCATCTTATTGTAAACTGAGATTACTGTGTTATAGTAAACTCAGTTGTAGACTACTAAAATATTTGGTACTTTAATATGAGGGTGAGGATGGGGTTTACAGAATAGAGAAAAGAGGGCAAAACGTGCAGAATAAAGGGCAAAAAAAATACAGAATAGAGAAAATTAGGGCAAAAAAATAAAGAATAGAGAATAATGGGGTGCTAAAATATAAAGAATAGAGAAAAATTACCAAAAAAATAAAGAATACAGAAATGAAGGACCCCCCATCCAGACCCTCTAATATTCCCATATACTTATTTGTATTTGATTGAAATTTGCTTGTTCACTGGTCCTTTATTGGTTCTGTACTATTTTTAAATTACACATTTTTGTAAAGAAGCACTGGGCGTAATAATGCCTGTCGTGCTGAGCCTGGCCGAATCCTACTGAAAAGCAAAACTATATTTTATATCATTAAATTCTTTGCACTTTCCACAGAAAATATGATTGAATAACAAATGTACTGTGCTACAAGGTTTTGTTATCCATGGATTAACAAAATGAAAATGATTTGACAAAATCCAGTTCATTCATATCTTACGATAATATATAACTTGTTGCTCAATAAAGCAGCTTTTCAGTCAAAGAAAGCAAATATTTTATGATCAGTAGCTGTTCAATCAAAATGCAAGCATATTAG